AAAAAAAAAAAAAAAAAAAAAAAAAAAAAAAAAATCAATGAGCAGAGTACACAATAGGGACCCTGATCTACAACAAGTAGGCCCAATGCATTTTCTTAACATGAAGGTCACAGCTCAGAAGTGTGTCTTTGTAGCAAATGCATTTCCAAAAACTGAACAAATACTTCTAGAGTTAAATAGCTCTAAATACAGGCCAATGAGCCACACACACAAAAACCACTAAAATTTAAAAATTAATTTAATAGACACACAGCCTGCAAACAAAATTTTTTCCTTCAGAAACATATTTTGTGATAACACTGAAGAAAATGTTTAAGGGCAAAAAATAAAAGATGTTGAGCATGCCCCAAATACTTCTGAAGAAAAAGGTTATAGTGACACTATGCAGATACTGATAAACAAACCAATAGGCCGTTTGTTGACCACAGTGCTACTTATAGTAACTAGAATCATATTGTTGTAAATTAAAGGGAAATTAAAAAATTTTTTCCAACTTTGATTGTAATGTAGCAATCTACTAAGCATATTGTGCCAAAAATTAGTATTCAATAAATATGGAGGGTAACTCATACCTTAAATTCCTCCAAGATTTTGTAATTTTTCCCATGATATTCACAAAAGTTTTTCACTTCTTTGCACTCAGGACAGCATCCATTGTGTTCCACTTTAGTACACTTTGGGTGAATTTTAGGGCATTCTGGCTGGTCACAAACAGGTCCATCTAGAGCACAGACACAGGGACAGTTGGAATGCCCTGGGAAAAATCGTTCTCCCAGCTTGTATACAAAGCCGCTGTCATCCACACACCCTTTCCCTCGATAGTCATCAAAGATCAGATTGTCATTACTGGAGATCTGGTCACCTTCATCAGCAGGATAGTCTTCATGACTGATGGCAGCAGAGGTGACCAATCCAGGGATGACCAACAGCAGTATGCAAGCTTCATGAATATGAAGAGCCATCCCCCTCCTCAAAGACTTCTGGATGTGCTCCTATTATTATATATACTCAGCTCCTTCCATGGGAATACAAGAGGGGTGGGCTGGAAACAAATATTTAAAAAGAATAATTTGACATATTTAAAGAGAATATAGATTCATTTAAGCCCATGCACTTAAACTGGGAACAATTTGGCAGATAGTAAGACCTCAAATAGACTAAGTTCATGCAACTATCTATACTTTATTGTGAAGTTTGGACAGTTGTTCCTTGGCAATGTATACACTAAATGTGTTCTACATGGAGTTATTTTACATAGGAACCTTCAGCTTAAATTCACCTTCTGAATTTCAAAGGTCTGGCTTTGCCTAAATTGTAAGAAGTGGTTGTACTGAGCCTCAAAGTGATGACAAGTAGCTATTTACAAGTAACTCACGAATATTTGAACTCACATTCTGTATTATTCTTTAAACTGGACTTGTCAGTGATAGAACATACACATGTTATAATCATTTGTGTCAAAACTCAAGAGTTTAGTGAGACAAAAATCTAATTCTAAAAGAAAGGGAATAAACTAACAGTTGAATGTAAATTGTAATTGGGATGGAGCAAGTATAAAGGCTTTTCCACTTATTTATGCCCATAATTGGAGAACTAGAATGATCTCAACATGAGTTACTTGATTCAGTGAACAAGGATATGGATTTTAGAACATAGCTAATTATAAAAATGTAACTACTTGACAGTGAATAAGAAAGAAAATTTAAAATAATAAACAATACAAGAGAACCCCATGTATTGAAAAGGATTTGTTAAAAAGCAGATTTATTTGTATTATTGTCCACATCTTTATTTTACTCAAGAGGTAAGCTTCTAGTGGGCAGGAAAGATATATCTATGAATTTTTTTTTTTTACAGCAACTTGAATCTAGTATTTATGTAATATTATTTGAATTAATTACTTCTATATAATATAAATAACATTCACAAGCCTTGAGAACATTAACTCTTTTGAAATGCTAAAAATATTTGCATTTAGGCAATTTGCATGAAGATGCCAGTGTAAAACTGTTTGTGGAAGTTTCTTAAAATAGTAATGAGGAATTGCCATTCACAGAAAATATGCCTAATTAATTTGGTGACATCGACTGTTGTAAACTTCAGTTAGTATTAGTGCTTGGTGTGAAGTGTTGGTAGTGGGTTCTTATTTAAATGTTTAGAGCAACTCACACAAAGGCTCTGGGAAAACTGTGACTGTAAGGAATAATAAATAAGAAAAAATGTTGTGAAATGCTATATTTGTCTATTTAAATGCTATTGGCTTTATGCCAATATCACTAAGATTGTACATGGGACATTTCAGATCATTTATAAATGTCATTCATTGGTTTATTTCAGATTATATTAAGAGCAATGTTAAATCATCTATTTTTTAGTCTAACATACACAAATGATAATTTTAAAAAGGACAATGATATCAGGAAACTTCACAAACTGTTATATTTTCACTCTAAGTTATACATGCAAATTCTAGCAATAGTAAAATGGAAGGTAGTATATCCATGCACTCTTTCCAGAGAAAACTGATACTAGAATTCCTCTGATATTCTCTGATATTAGAATTCCCTTTCAGTAGGTAATGGTAAAGGAGATGAATTTCTTTTAAAATATGTCAAAAATAATGAGTCATGACAGAACCAGAAAATGCAAACCTATAATTCTACTTGTGAAGCTGGAGCCTCCCTTTGACAAAGCATTTTTTTTTCTCTTAAATTACTACAGAGGCCACAAACATAACAGAAGCTTCTAAAAAATCATAAATATAATTTACTAATTAAAGCATGCATTTACACATCTCTCACATAATTACAAAGTTTATCTTGGAAGAAAAGAGAGCTACTGTGCTTCCTTATAATATTCCAGCAGTATCTACCAATACATGCAAGATAAGCCATATAAAAGACACATATGATTCTGCTCCAAAAAGACATAGACAGAAAATGATCTCTTTATAAGCTACAGGTAGGCATCAATGTGTCAGGTTATGATAGATGTAAACATAAAGGGAAAAATAGGAGTGTAATACCCACTTTATATAAACATTAAGTATGCTTTTATTATATAAAATACATTTTAAAATATGCATGGAGAAAATAAGATTTTCTTTTTTATACAACAAAGTTTTTTAGGCTATTTTTTTTTAAAAAGCAGCCTTCTTCATAATTGAGTTGCTCTAGTGCCATTTAAGATACTATTTATTTACGAGAACAGAGAAATCAAATAAAATGTTTATCTGACGATTTTAAATAAGAAAGCAAACATGGCTAAACTGAAGATCACTTCCCAGCTAAACTTTCCCCCCCCTCCCCATATTGCTACATGTGATTTAAAATGACTGCATCTATTTTTTTGAGAAAACAAACATAACTCATGCCATAAGATACACTTACCTAATCACTCTGGAGGTTAATGGTTGTGGTAAGGGTCACAGACCAATATGAACTAAAAGGTCAGGTACGTTTTAGAAAGCAGTTCCTTTTCAATCCCCCCAAAACACATTTTCAGGCATAAATTAAAGGCAATCCATTATCTCCACCTCCCATTTCAAAACAGTCAAGAAGCAGTCTCCCGCCCTTCCAGAGAGAAACACAGCAGACACACATAAGAAATATGCTTCGGACCTGTCTTCAGAATTCAAAGCAAGAAGCAATGCTGGTCCTGTAGAAATCCAGACCCGAGTAGCAGAATCATGTTGAACTTATTTTTAGCATTTTCTTAGATCCTTCTATGAAATTTCCCGGCTGATTACGCCTCCTCCACACATGAGTTCACTTACACAGTGTTTGCTACGGCAGTAGAGGTGATTTGGCTAGGCTCTGAGGATCACAAACAGCAACAGCATGCTGTAGCTAAAGCCGCTCCGCCGGCAAAACCGTCAGCATCGTTCACAATATGTTGCTTGAATCCCCTCTTACATAGCAGAAAAATGCTAACTGTGGACGTGAAGGAAAGGAGCAACTTTAGCTGGGATTCTGCATCAGTGAGAGCAGTTCGCAGACTGCTGATTTGGAGCTCATTCTGCCGGTAGCCGGGAATTCCTCAGCACCACGGACAGCGCCAACAACTGGCTCCTCAGCCCAGCTCGGTCGAAATCCCAGAGCTGCCTCGTCAGACCAGACTCTCGTGTTCTCTAAGCAGTCGCACGTTATACAGGGGGAAAGACATTCTACGTGCGAGAGACTTACTTACATCGAAATTACAATTAAAAAATATTTAAATTGTAATTATACCTAATGCATTCTTGGATGGGTTGCAGGGATGAAAGTTCCGGAAGGGACTTGCATTTAGATTTAAGCCATCTGCAGTACCTGATTATTATTAATATGAGGATAAAGCATAATCACTGTCAAAGAATCTGTGAAAATGTACGCTCGCAGATTCTATTTGACCCTTTGGTTGCAGAAAAACTTTCCCGTTTTACATGATTAAACTTCAGGTCCTACTGCAGTTTGAATCTGATTAAAAAGAAAAAAAGAAAAAAAAAAAAAAAAAAAGTACCGGGTTTTCCTGCAGATTGTTCTCAGCATTAAAAATCAATCTCTTGTAATTCATCTAGTCTGTCATTAGGCGTCATTGTAAAGCTGTTTCTTCCAGATACTCAGTCTCTAAATTCTTACCAAAATGAGAGAGAGAAAAGACCCAGACACAAATAAATGAGCAGGAAGTTATTGTTACTATTTTTTTTTTTTATTATGGTTAACAGTATGAGCACTAAAATATATGTTCAAAGCATGTTTTAAAGGAAATTTTAAATGTTACCTGCTGGGATATTTAACCAGTTATTTACTAATTTGGGACTACAGGAAGCATTGTCAAGCCTTACAGGGAAGTCCGCAGTGGGATATGCTGAGCGTCAAGACCACGTTCGAACGGTGCCGTCAGAACCTCCGGAAAACAGACTCTCCCCGTCGGGAGAAAACACGACCGTGTGCGCCTCGCCCTCATGGCCCATCAATTTGTGAATCTGCCCAGATTTAAGATCTAGCAAATGGATAACACCATTGTCACTCGCCTGAGCTAAAACTCGACCTGAGAAAGAGAGAGAGAATGAATCAAAGTTTTATTTCAAGCAGTCACAGAAGCAGTCAGTTTGTTATCAATGAAACATACTATTTTGTTTCCATTGTGATCCAACAGACTCTCATTTTATGTGAGATGTCAGTAATTAAACATGAACTAGCTCCTGTCCGAACAGGATATAAACTGAGTCAAAATTAAGACACATCAGTGATTAGGTTACAAAATTTTACGAAGAGGAAATAAAGTCTAATGTTCCTTATATACTGTATATGCAGAGGTCATCAAATGCCTTGCTATTCTCCTTATATTTGTGATTAATAAATCACTTTGAGAAGATGACATTGACAACAATTAAGCAAGGCAACTTTCTCTTCCAAATCAATTATATGTTAAGTAGTTTTCAAAATTTGTTTATGGCAAATGTATACTATATATTTATATAGGTATATATCTCATGAATAATTTGTATCTTAAAATTTGTATACTACTTTAAACTTTATTATAATTATGCTAAACCATTTCTTAAAACTATAATAGTATACATTTCTGTTTTAAAAATTACTCATAAACTCCACAACTTTTCTTTGGAGCAGAAATGAAAAATACCTGCGTTTCAAAATGCCTTGGGCTTTTTTACTCTAACTTAAAATTCAAAATTCTGTGAAACTAAATTTTTGTTACACAGGCTAGCTAAATACAACACAGGGTATTCTTATAACTTTTATAATTTATATTGTATAGTGAATCATTTCCTTGAAGGAAAAACAGATCAGGAATCCAATTTTAATTAATACTTTCATTAAAGAAGTCCAGTAACATACTATCAGGGAACCTGGAGATAAGTAAAAGCAATAGAATATGTCTACATAAGTTCAGTACTAAGGATAAGTAAGTAAGACATTAGTACAATCCATGGGATTATCTAATCACACTTAGAAGGCATATTAGTATTCTAGTAATAATATTAAAAATTTATTAAACTCTTTTAAAGTTCTAAATTCCATATTAAGTGCTGGATGTTGATAATCCCATACAATCTTTATACTAATCTAGTGATTTAAAAAATAGTATTAACACCTTTATATGGGTGAAGAGAGGCAAGGTCAAGGATTTGGATCCCTGTATTGGTTAGCCAGAAAGGCTAAGTGACTTGCTCACCATAACACCCTAGGTATAAAGCGAGCGAGCAATTAAACACAAGCATTTTGAATCCAGAACCTGGGCTTTTAGCCTATATATTTTCCACATTCAGTACAGCATTGTTACCAATGATGCCTTCTTGACAGAATTTAGGTAAGTGACATATTGTGAAAATAGAATTTGTCCATTTGATAATAAGAATTCTAGAATGATATCACCATGAAAGCCACAGTGAAATATTTAATCACAAAATATATCCCAAATCATTATAAATATGTATAAAAAGAGAAAAGTTATAAAGGTAAAGCTAACCATGATAAATACGGCCTACTTGCAGTCCTTTATAACTACTGGGCTTCTTCATCTAGAACAAAGCCTGACACAGCAAAGATCCTTAGGATGGATGAGAGTGTCCAAAGCAGCAGATGTGAATATTTTTTATAGACCTTCTTCTAGTAAGTCTTTGCTGACAGAGGCATTACATATGGGTTTCACTTTCAGGTTCACTCTATAGGCAATTGCTGTTTGTAACTTAGTAAAGAATCAAACAAATAACTTTCTTTTTCGTGGTCTTTATACAACATCTTGGAAAGCAGTAAATATTATTTTCTACTTTTGAAACCAAATAAAACCAAGCAGAACCAAAACCAATAAAGAAAAAGGAAACAATTCAACTTTAAACCATTATCTTTTGTTGAAGTCAAATCTGTAAAAATCATAATTGGAAATATTTATGAAGGTTCTTGGTAATTTCTGAAAGTTTGTTCAATAAAATGGAGAGAATGATAATACTGGAACTTAACAATAGGATTATATAATTCATCAGCACCATGCCTCGGATGTTTCAAAAATTTGTCTTTGTTATGAGAGATCTGAGTTGGCAACACTATGGTAAGGTTTTTTGGGTTTACCTGAACTCATTTTCAGAAAATTGAAAGACTATATATCTCACAACCAATTCATAAAATTAGTATAAATTTATAATCACGTTCAACTTTATTTAAAGTGTATTGGATTATTACTCTGCACATAATGTCTGGCTTAAAGATTGGTTTTGCTGGGAATGGGGATGCTGACTCTTTCTAGGTTAGAAGATTTTCAAAATTACTTAACAGGATGTGTCAACTGCTACATTAGTATCTAGCTGGTATGAGAGAGAGGCTGCACTCTCAAAAAAAAAAAAAAAACCAATATGATTCCTGGTAGCATTTCTAAAAGTGGAGTATTTAAAGAGAAACTCATGGCTTTCTTTCTAAATATCCTGGTGACTGGTAATGTAAAACAAACCATGGTACAAATCTCTTGCCATTTGAATGCCAGGGTCTTAATGGTAAATTTAGGAAGAACAGACGATTTATCTACATCAGAACTTGGTCAATGGAGTGAAAGTATGGTAAAAGTAAAATTTTAAATAGTACCATAAGAATGTATGTGAAACTTGCATGAATAAAGTGCATGTTAAAGTAAATATGCCTCTTTTAAAATATGAAATAATAAAAATTTATAAATTATATTTATTTCTACATTAAATATTTTACTAAAATATTAGAAAACAAAATATAACCAAAATAATTGTCTTGTAACATGAAATTACTGAATAGAGTACTTAAAATGATATTTAGTGTAGTATTTTAAAAATAATAATTTTACCAAATTATAAATGCATACACTCCACAAATATCACATGGATTAAAATAAATAATTTAAAAACCACAAATTAGTATAGTTTGTCAGTATTATTAAAAATAAAAAGTCAAAATTGATTCATAAAGTATTTTTTAAAATATAAATGTTTAAACATCTTACGTAAAATAATGACTTGTTTCTTTGCTTTTGTTAATTCAAGTTATTAGAATGTCCAAACTTTTCACAGAATGGGAAGAAAATAAACAGTCTGGGAAGAAGATTGATTTAACTTTATAATTGCTAGTTATTTATATAAATAAATCAGTATATACCAGCAGTGAGTGATTAGGACTAACCTCTTCATTCATATGTCTCTAAAAAATGTAATCAATACTACTTTCATCTACCAAGACTTTAGCATATTTTCTTATTGAGTAAATCAATACCTTTTTTATTGACCAATAGGGTTCAATGAGGATAACATGTGTTGCTATCCATTCTTATTGGATGAATACACCAACTCTTTCTGGCTTAGAAGACAGGAACTAAATTTCTTCTTACCTCAAAGTATTGATAACTCTGGTCTTAAATGAGCCATTCAACTTTTACGAATTAGTGGGTCTCTCAAATCGTAGTTACAAATCAATGTATAACTTTCTTAAAGCAGTATAGCTTCTTTACAGTTAGTCTTAAAAAGCAGTTTTGGGGGGAAAAATAGTTCCACAAATATCTTGAGCCAAGCAGTCTCAATTAGACTCGGTATATAAAACCTTAAATATTTGAATGTATTTACTAATTTAAGCATCACTAGCAATAGAATTCTTGAAGAAGTTTATAGCATAAATTAACCCATGAAAATCCAGTGGTAAAATTTTATCTGGGCGTAATAATTACTTTGGGTAAACTAACATAAGTTGGAAACTCTTAATCTTATGCTAATAAAATATGAAAATAAAATATTGACATTTTTTTAAAAATAAAGGATTTTTAATTAATTTCAGATACATACATGTATGAAAATTTGATTTGATTTTGAGAGCATACACTTAGAATAGCCAGGAGTTATCTTAAACTTTTCAATACACACTTGCTTCTTCACCTAGACAAACCTTCCTTAAGGTTAGGAGTTCTTCATGCTACCTACAATTTCAATATTTTTTACAGTCATGGAACTCGACATAATCAGTGCTTAATAGATGCTTGTTGCATGAAGAATTACAGTGTATTATAAATAGAAGTGCAAAGATTCTTATGATATTTTTTCATAGAAAGGATATGAGCCCATTTCTTTCACATTCGCATCTATTGGAATGAGCTAACAGTAGCCACCATTTATTGACATCATCTCTTGAATGTATTTTTCACTTCCCCACCTTTGGATTGTTGCTTCTGTAATTCCCTCTGGTGAAATACTTTCCTTAGCTGTCTCCATAGTCCCCAACCATACCTTCACAACAAAAGTCAGCCCATCTATTCCAGGACATTCGCATCTATTGGAATGAGCTAACAGTAGCCACCATTTATTGACATCATCTCTTGAATGCATTTTTCACTTCCCCACCTTTGGATTGTTGCTTCTGTAATTCCCTCTGGTGAAATACTTTTCTTAGCTGTCTCCATAGTCCCCAACCATACCTTCACAACAAAAGTCAGCCCATCTATTCCAGTTCAAAGTCATTTTCTTCACCTAGTTGGTACAAGGCATCCCAGGTAGAAAATCTTCCTCTTCTGAGCATTTATTGCATTTTATTCATATGATTCATGTAGTAATAAGATGCCATAAATTATGGTCATTTGTGTATTTGTCTTACATGCTTAACTTTGTAATTACTCAGGGACGGGGCCATGCATTTTTTCATTCCCTCTAGCTTAGCAGAAAGGTTGTTGTAGTCAATACTCTCAACATTCAGTGGATAATAGTAACAGCTTTCACAACTACAATTTTTAGTGCTTATTATTTACCAACTACTGTATTATGTCCTTTTAAGTCCTACATGTATTATCTCTTTTTATCCTCATAACAACCCTGTGGTTTAGGTATATACTATCATGGAGAGTTCATACCTATACTGTGGTTTAGATATGAACTATCCATCATAGCAGCCATGACTCAACTGTGGCTATTGATCACTTGAAATACAGCTAATACAGATTGAAATGTGCTGTAATTGTAAAAGGCTCATGAGATTTCAAAGACTTATTATGAAGAAAGAATGTAAAGTATCTCATTAATCATTTTTACA